TGAATTATTTCACAGGTTTGACAGGTATGACCTCAAATTGGTCCAGTTATTGATTGTTGTTCGATAGGTCTTTTAGGTGTAATTGTATATCTATTACTCAGCATTGATCACAGAATACTAGCAGAATTACTATTTTTACTACTGGTTTGCAACCAAATGTCAAAATAAGTATTGTTGTCAGTTGGAGTTTCTGATTGTTCTCTATAACTAGTGAAATTATTTTCTAGAGTATTGTTATTGTCGTGAATTTTTTTTTATTTACTGTTGATGTGAAGATTATTTAATATCTTCCTCATCATCTATATTAATGAGATTAATGACATATTTTTTTCAGAAATATATTTTTCTTCAGAAGTAGTAGGTATTTCTTTGAAAATAATAGATTTTTCTTTGAAGATGATTAATTTTTCCTCAGAATTACAAGTATTACAATTATTATAAAGAAGTCTTTTACAGTTTTTACACCAATAACAGAAACATGGATAAAAAGTATATTGTCAGTTTTGAAACTTTTCTTTCATCTCATTTTCATATCTAATAATTCTTGCAACTTCTACACCAATGACAGAAACATGGATAAAAAGTATATTATCAGTTTTGGAACTTTTCTTCCATCTCATTTTTGTATCTAATAATTCTTGTAACTTCTACACAAGATTAATATTGCTTTTCACAATGTGATGATGTTCTCCAATCTTTCAATTCGCAAACGTATGATACTCAGTTGAGTTGTTCTCAAATGGTTCTTCCAGAGTAATAGGATTTAAGACAGTGATATTCTTCAGTTAAAATTAATTTTGTCATTTTGAAAAATTTTATGGTTTTCGTTCCAAAGATAATGTAAGATTTAATCAATCCCAAAGCTTAATTTATTAATTTCTCAGTCAGATAGATTAATTCTAATTTTGAATCACAATTGTTGGTTCTAATTTATTATCTTCAAGATATAATTTTAAATGGTTTTCATTGTAAGAATTTTTCAAAAGTTTTCTGTCTAATGTTCTTAGTTGATATGTTCCTTTATCAAGTTTTTCATGAATATAGAATGGTTCTTTTCATTTTTGCGAAAATTTTTCATGATGCCAGTGCTGCATTATCATCCTCTTTATTAAGATTTTATCTCTGATAAAAAATATTTGTGTGTTTTTATCTTGTTGATATGATTCTTTTTGTTTTTGTTGAGATTTTTGTATATTTTGATGAGCTAATATTCTGTCAATTTCTAATTTATCCATTATAATACAAGCTCATTTGATGATTTCATTTGTTGTTACTTTGTTATTATTATCTATTGATTGTAATTTTAGATCTATTAGTCAAATAAAATGATATAAACTTGATTGTACTTTGTTAAATAGTTCTATAAATGAATAGTACTAAAGATAAATAAAAATCACATTCTTTTTTGTGTAATTGTACAAGTTTTGCTAATGATTCACATAATGTTTTATTTAGTTATTCGACTAATCTATTAGTTTGTGGATGGTATAGTATTGCAAGATGGTGTTTGATCTAATAATTTTTGCATAATGTTCTAATTAATTTATTGACAAAGATTATTTCTCTATCTGAAATTAATTTTCTTGGAAATTTATGTCTATAAATAATATCTTTATATAGAAATAGTATTATTATTCTTGAAGTAGCATCAGGAATTGCTTTTGCTTCTGCCCAATTTGTTCCATAGTCAATAGCAACTATTATATATTTGTTATTATTAGAGATGAGTGATAATGATCCTACTAAATTAATTCTAATTTTCTCGAATAGTGATTTTGTTTCAATTGGATGTAATGAATTATTCTTTCTTAATCTTCTTTTTTTTTGACAGACATCACAAGCTTTAATATAATTTTTGATATCTTTATATAAGTTTGACCAATAATAATTTTGTGATATTTTATGATATGTTACTTCAATACCAAAGTGTCTAGTATGAATTGCTGAATGTTCATTGAATAATATTTCTTTTATTTCAATTATTTTAATAACTTTTAAGAGTTATTCTAGATCTTTATTATTGCATTGATAAAGTGTTTGATTTTTCATAAAATAATATTATATTTTATTTTTGAATTTTTGTTGCTCTTTTACTGTTAGATTTTCTGGTAATTGTAATGTGTTCAAATAGTTAACAAGTTGATTATATTCAAGTAAGTTTATAATTTGATTGGATTATTTCAAAGTTAAGTGTTCAAGTTGTTTTACATGATAATTAAATTATCTTTTTGTATTTTAATCTACATTGGATCTGGCTTGAAATATTAAGAGAGTGAATCTATATTTGAATGTAAGTGTCCTTTATAATATTCAATATTAAAGTTGTAGTCTTGCAAAGTCATAATTCATTGAACTAATTTATAAGAAAGATTTAGTTTGTTGAATAATATTTTTAAGATACTATGATTAATAATAACAGTAAATGAAATATTTAATTATAAATATGATCTGAAATATTGAACTGTCCAGACAATGCCTAAGTATTCTAATTTAGTAATACAATAGTTTCATTCATGTATGCTAGTTCTAGGGCTGTTATGTGTTTTAAAACACAGTGATTTAAAACAATATTTTTAATGTTTTAAAACAAAATTTTTAATAAAAAACATAAAAAACATATTAGGATTAGGTTGAGGTTAATAATGACAGCAATAATTATTTAATTACAGAATTCGATATCTTTATCAAAGTGTGCTATGCAAGATGACAGATCTGCATCATAAATCAATGCTCATGCGATATATGTAATGTGTATGCCTTAGAATGTGCAGAACATAAAATGCTGCTCATTTCTGAAAGGACTGGATGTCAGATTAGGCAATAAAGATTTATTTTTCTCAAATTCATGTGCAGAATTGTCGATTGGTATTAGAATAGAATACATGGAAAACTTTTTTAGAGATTGAAGAAATAGCTATAGAACTTTTTTCGTGCCAAAAACTGGGCTGACTGACCACTAACAATGATACAAGACGGAAACAGGTGGGTGCTTGAGTACCGCTATTACCGGTTTAATAATAATTTCACCAATCTCTCAATTTTGATAAAATCTGTCTAGTCCGATTTCGTTAGTTTAAATTCACTTTGAAATTCTATTTTTATTTCGCTTTTGTTTTCTATCCTAAATTTGCTTTTGTTTTTTATTTTTATTTCACTTTTGTTTTCTATCTTAATTTCACTTTCGATCTCGCTTTTATTTTCACTTTAGATCTTGCTTTTATTTTCTATTTCTTTTTCTATTTTAAATTCTCTCTTAAACAATAGAATGCATTATGCAATAAGTTCTGAAATAATGTAATCAAAAAGATGTATATATAATTCTCGTGGACGTTAATAAACTAACAGAATTAATATTGCAAACAATTATTCTCCAAGTAAGCCACTTGTAAAAAGAGAATTAAATTGCGTACAATTCTTCTCCAAGTAAATTAGACTTGTAAAATTGTTGTGATTGATTGTGATTAGGTTCTTTGATCCAGAAAAGGCATTGTTATTGGTAACGTTAACGGTATATTGATTGATTGAAAAGTGCTTTGTGTTAAATAGTTTAAGACTTTTAGCTAGAAAAAGCAACGATTGGAAGTTAATAGAAAGAACATTGTTAATAAATCGTTATATAAAACATAAACCCAAAACCATCTCACCTAAAAACTGATCCATCCAACCTCCTCTCTCTACTGTCATACTGAAACGATATCCATAGATTTCAGCACGGGAATTAGAAACAAACAAATATTACTCAGTCTATTACTCCCCCCAACCTATTGTTACAGATAAAATTGTCGATTATGCCTAATCACGATCAATTCGTGACATCATGACCGAATTGTTTTTCTGATTCGTCACTATAAAAACTAGTCATCCTGATTTTGCGATGTATGCATGCGGAAAAGGTACAGAATGAGCTCGCTTTGAACACAAATATCAGACATTTTGTTGATCAATTATCAGATGATTTTTGAATGCTGAGTTTTCATAGGGTGTCCCTGTTTATTTGTACTTCTCATCCAATTTCTCATACTATGCTGATTAAACTAACGAAATGTAAACTTCAGACTAATCAGATCAGGCAATTGCATTGTAACAGCTCCATGAATGATCAATTATTTAAACTGACGAATGTGAGAATTTTAACTAATCAGATCAAGCAGTTTCATCGATCAAATTCCTTGCATTTATTTAAACTTACAAAACGTGAAAATTTCAACTAACCAGATCAGGCAATTCTATTGAACAGTCACTGATCGAACTCATTAAACTAATAAAATGTAAAAATTCTAACTGACAGTTAAAACATCTGCCGTGAATGATCGAATTTTCACATGCTCTGTAATACTAATGCTAAGAATTATTGTGATGAAACAGTTTCTAAATTGTGCTGATTTTACAGTTTTCATACTCCTAACTAATATAAAAATGCTAACATAACAACACGCATACCCACAATTGTTTTCATCTAATAATTCATTTGCTGCATAACTTGTATCAAGATCTTGTGACTTGTTTGAAAAATTATAAATACAAAACCAACGAAAATTAATCTTTATAAATTATAATATCACGGGGTCGTCCAGCTTCTGAAATCCATGACCATTTTAAGCCTTTAAATGAACAAATTTCTCAAAAATGTGGTCTTTCAACAGGATGCCAAGTTTGTAAATGATGCGACAAAGATATTATTAATTTAGTTGATCAGTTGAAAGATCATTTGTTCAAATGCTGCAAGTTTCCATTCAAACTTCGAGAATCTACTAATTTGACTACAAGTGTAGATCATCAAAATAGCTCTTCAAGTACGCCAACTGTTACCTCATCATCACAATCAGATGAACACAAAATTTCCCAACCTAAATGAACACGTACATAATCAATTGATATATTTTTGGATCATATAACTCAAAGTGACAAAGCTCTTTTTGATCAAAAACTAGCAAAGTTTTTTTACTCTGCCAACATCCCTTTTAATGCAGTCAAAAATTATTACTTTATTGATTTTATGCAAACTCTAAGACCAGCTTATAAATTGCCTAGTCGTCAACTACTAGCAAATTGACTATTAGATGATGAATATGAAAAGGAATGTAATGATTTGAATGAAATGCTTGAAAATGCAAATAACATAACACTGGCATCAGATGGATGATAAAATCAATTTTTATTATATTTTTTGTATATTAACAAAATTTTTAATCAAATTAATTTAATTATAAGGTCTAATATTCGTGGAGAATCAGTTTTAAACTTTATATTATGTTTACCGCAACCAATTTTTTATGATGCTCACTATACTGGAGCTGAATCTCATACTGCTGAATTTATATATGGAAAGCTCAAATCAGTTATTGAAGACATTGGACCATCCAAATTTGCTGCAATTATTACTGACAATGCAAGTACAATGCGAGCTGCATGAAAATTGTTAAATGACAACTATCCAATATTAATTTGTTTGGGATGCAGTTCACATATTGGAAATCTATTGGTTAAAGATATACTCAAGCTTGAATGGATTGAACAATCAATGGACAAAACAAAAGAAATTATCTTTTTTTTTCGAAATCATCATTGAGCTGGTGCTATTTTACAACAAGAACCTAACACAATTGCACTAGTAAAACCAGTTGATACATGTTGGGGTACTTGTCTTGATGCAATTCAATCAATTCTACGTTACAAAGTCGCAATTCAAATTTTTGTTGTGCAACCTGCAGTTACTTCAACAATCAAATGTAATCTAAAAGACAAAATTCTTGGTGAAGAATTGTGGAGTGAATTGGAAAAAGCAGAATGTCTTTTAGAACCATTTGTCAAACTTCTCAAGATTTTTGAATCAGATACATCTTTACTCTCACGTGTATATGCAGAATGGAATAAACTTCAGATAACAATTAATAATTTGGATCTTGATTTGCTACAAAAAAATGAAATTAAAGATCTGATTGATACACAATTTGAATTTGCTTTTCATCCGACAATGGCTTTGGCAAATCTTTTAGATCCAATATAAGTATAAAATAATTATTTATATATAATTATTTATATTAAATTAATATTTTTAATTTAAGGTATCATGGAGATTCTTTAAAATCAAATGAATTACAAGATGTAATTATACCTTATTTGGAAGAAATTTATTCAACAGAAAATGTAGCATATGTAAGTAAATTAATTTAATTATTCAATAATATTACAAATTAATTAATTTTTAAAAATTTTAGATATATGGAACACTTCAAAAATATATTGCCAAAACAGAGGAATTTTCAAACAGATTGCTTTGGAAATCTGTACAATATTCAAATGCAATTAGTTGGTGAAAATCAAATTTTGCTCAAAAATTTCCAAGTTTAGTAGAGTTGGCTACAAAAATATTATCTATCCCAACATCTTCTGCTGCTGCTGAACGAAATTGGTCTCAATTTGGATTTGTTCATAACAAATTTCATGCAAGTTTAGCTAATGAATGAGTTAAAAAATTAGTAGCTGTTGCTCAAAATCTTAGAATTAAACAAAATATTAAAGAAAATAGCTGGTTTGAATATTTTGATGAGTAAATATACTAAATAGTTTTATAAAGACTTTCAACAATAAAATTTATTAATAAAAGAATAAAAACATTTTACTTGTTTTAAAACATTGTTTAAAACACAAAATATTAAAAAACATGTTTTTTAACAGCCCTAGCTAGTTCTTCTACTAGCATAAGCTACTACATATTCTTTATCATCTGTTTTTTTGTACAAGTACAGTATCTAATTCAAAACTAAAGGTATCAGTTAAGGTTGCTTGCCAAAATCCCTTAGTGACTGTCTAAATTTTGTTGAAATTATAATAAACTATTAATAAATAACCCGTCGAAATTCTGACGAATTTTGAAACCCGTCGTAACCGAAATCATGTCGAAATTCTAATTAACAATTAGTGTGTAACCCATCGAAATTATGACGATATTTTTCTGAAAGGATTTAGGCAAACATCCTTAGTATTAGTATATAAAAGAAATGGTTTTTCAAAGTTAGGATAAATTAAGATTGATAATAATATTAAATATTGTTTTAGTTCTTTGAAGACTTTTTGATAGTTTTCATTTCATATGAAAGATTATTCTTTCTTTATGAGTTGGTGTAATAGAATGATGATTAAAGATGACGCAGCAAGTATATGATGCTTATTTGTCACCTGTTGCAACACGTTGCAACTCCAAAATTTTATAAGTTGCAACTAGTTGCAACTAGGTGATGTTTTATTTGTCACCATGTTGCAGCAATTGCTGCACCATCTTTAGTGATAATTTTAACAAAATATTGATAATAAGAGGCTAGTTCTAGAAATTTTCTTAATATTATCAAATTAGTTGAAATTAAAAAGTCTTGTACAACTATAATTTTTGCAGGATCAGGTTGTATTTCATTTTTTCTGATAATATATTCAAGAAAAGCTAATGAAGTCTTTCCAAAATAGTATTTGTTTGAATGTAATTTTAATCCACTTTTTCAAATTATATCAAAGGTAATTCTCAAATATTGTAAATATTCTTCAAAGATTTCTGAGAATACATTGATATTACCAAAATAAATAACTAAAAATTTGTTAATATATGATCTAAAGATTTTATTCATCAATCACTAAAATATTGCTGATCTATTTATAAATTCAAAAGGCATTATATTGAATTCATATAATTCTTTACTAATGATGAAAGCAATTTTCTTTTGATCTTTTGGTTTTACTTCCATATGCCAATATCTACAAATAAGATTAAGAGTTAAAAGTATTTGGTTTTTTTAAATATATCTAATAAGTTATCAATTCTAGATAAGGGAAATTGATTTTTTATAATTACTTTATTGAGTTGTCAATAATCTACACAAAATCAAAATTTTCCATCCTTTTTCTTTGCTACTATGACTAGTACTGACCAAGAGCTATCTGATGGTAAAATAATATTTTGCTTGAGCATTTTATCGATTTTAGTTTTGATAAACTCTTTTTCTAGTGGTGATCTTTTATAATATGGTTTTAAAACTATTGGTTAACTAGTTTCAGTATTTATTTCATGTTGGACTATATTGATTCTACCAGGACCTAATATGTCAAATAAATCATTATATTTAGCTAATAATTAATCTATTTGTTGTTGTTTTTTAGTTAAATTAGTTTCTTTACTTATTATAGCTTGAAATAATGGTTCTGGAATTATTGTAAGTTGTTGATAGAGATCTTGTTTTTGATTGCATGTCAAATAATCTTTAAGTAACTTATTGTTTTCATGAGGGCATTTTTCAAAATCAATAATTTCATTTGTTTTTATTTCTTCAAATATCGAATGGAAGAATTGTTGATCATTGATTTGAGTATAATTTTCTTTTACTTGGATATTCAAAATTGTTTGGTCATCT